AAGTAAAAAATTCAAATTGCCTTTTAAAATATTTAAAGTTAGAAGGCTAGGCACAGTAGCTCATGCCTATAATCCTAGCACTTTGGGAGGCCAAGGCAGGAGGATGGCCTGAGACCAGGCATTCAAGACTAGTTCGGCAACACAGGGAGACCCTATCTCTACAAGCTGTGGTGGCACACGCCTGTAGTCCTAGCTACTCAGGAAGCTGAGGTGAGGGGATTGCTTGAGCTCAGGAGATCATGCAGTGAACCGTGATTGAGCCAATACTTTCCAGCCTAGGTGACAGAGCGAGACCCTATTTCAAAAAATAAATAAACACCTAAAATTTAAAAATTAGAATGGTAATAATCTTTTTTTGATGATGACTTTAAACTTTTAACTCTATAATTTTATTAGAAAAAATTAGAAAAATACATTTTAAAAAATGTATTTTAACATATTTTTAAACAAAAGTTACTTCATATCAAATAGGAAAAAAATTGGATAAACCAAAAGAAAAAACGTTCATAATACCACTGCCATATATAGCTACTGTGTCAGGTAGAAGGTGGAAGGTTATGAGGAGGAAGGATTTGTGGAAGCAAGGTAATTAACAGTGGTTATCTATGGTGCTCGCAGTCAGTATAGTTTTTTTCTATATTTATATATACACAGTACATTGGATAGAAGTATTTTTACTTTTGTAGTATGAAGAAACAGTTGGATTATAAAGTAAAAATAATTGGAGACTAACAAAAATATAAATTAACATATTTGTTAGAAGCTTTTCCAAACTGTTCCTATTCTCTAAAAGTTTGCTTTCGAATAAAATGTTAGAAAAACTGTTTCCCTTTGTTTTTGCTATTATTTTGTTTTATTAGATTCTTGAAGAGAAAACAAGATTCAGGGAAAAGTCAGTGGCATATAATCATTAGTTGTGTTTTATATGTGTAACATTGAAGAATGGTTATCATCATGATGCTTCAATTAAGTTTATTCTGGATTGCTTTCAGGCACTGTTTAAAAGGAAAAACCTCATTTATAATATTCACTCCGTCAAGGGTGTCTAAGGGAGAGAATACAGTTATGGGTTCTTAGCTTTTGTTTTGGGATGGACCATTAGAGCCCCTTCCTCATCACTCTTTTCTGCTTATCACTAGAGACAGAAACTAAAACCATAGCTTCAGGCTGCTAAAAGCCTAAAACAAAACAAAACAAAACAAAACAGGACAACAACAAAATAAGGCTGATTGGATAAGCTTGCATCTATACATTCATTCAACCAATACTAAGAGTGCTGCCGTCAGTTCAGCACTGTGCCAGGCCCTGGGGGTAAAAAGTCAGGCCACTGACCTTTCCCTGAATCTGAAAAGTATAAAAGGGAAACCTAGTCTAGAAGGTAAAACAGGAAAGTTAGTTAACCTAAAGTGTGATAAGGGCTATGGTATTCATATACGTAGGAGCATCAAATAAGGGTACCTACCTAATCAACACTCCAAAGAATCCTAAAGGAAGTGATACCTAGATTAAGTTTTAAATAATATGTAACAATTATTGGCCTTTAGGGAATAGGAACAGTTGTTTGGTGGTATAACATTGTAAAAATAAAGGTATGGTATGATGTCAGATGGGAAAGGCAAGGGTCAACTCTTAGAGTGCCTTGTATGCCATGGAAAAGGAACTTGGACTTTGCCATATGGCATTGGGGAACCATTATAGGTTTAACTCTGAAGACTGTATAGTGGAGGGATTTATGGGGGATAAGACTCAAGGGAAACCAGCTGTGAGGAAGTGGCAGTAATCCAGGCATTGAACCTGGGCATTAGGAGGGATGGAGAGAAATGCAGTGGAGAGCCATATGAGAGTGGTGCAGGACTTGTGCAAAGTGTCAAAACCCCTGCTTCCTGATCTCTAATTCCTTTCCTCATTTTTGTTACCAACAAACATGACTTTCAGTGGAGATATTTGTTTACCAAAAGAAATTACCTATTTTTTTCTCCAACCAGTTAGTTGTTGATGCCGTGAATTTCTATTAAGAAAAGACTGAATAGTTCTTTCAAATTTACCAAAACAACTTGACCTTTTTTTCTGTGTGTGTGAGACAGTGTCTCACTCTGTCAGCCAGGCTGGAGTGCTGTGGCACGACCTCAGCTCACTGCAACCTCCGTTTCCTGGGCTCAAGCAATTCTCCTGCCTCAGCCTCCAGAGTAGCTAGGATAGCAGGCATGTGCCACCATGCCTGGCTAATTTTTGTATTTTTAGTAGAGAAGGAGTTTCACCGTGTTGGCCAGGCTGGTCTCAAACTCCTGACCTCAGGTAATCCGCCTGCCTCGGCTTCCTAAAGTGCGGGGATTACAGGTGTGAGCCTGGCCAATTTGACCTTCAGTAGAGGTTTAATGTCAATGGAAAGGAGGGTATACACTTTGGACTGATATACAAGATTCAAATCCTGGCTCTAGCACTTACTAGCTGTGTGATCTTGGAAGAGTTATTTAAGCTCTCTGAGCTTGTTTCCTTTTCCGTAGAGCTTAGTTGTGATGAGTTAATGAAACTATGTGAAGAGCCTGCTCAAAGCTTGGTAGATAATAGAGGCTTACGTGGTATTTCTCTTAAAGTAATAGAACAGTGGGTCCATATTGCTTTGAAGGGGGTGAAAATTTGTTCTTGGAGAAAGGGTGAAAAAATCTTATCATTAATGTATAAAACTAAGATATATATACAGTACATAAGCAGATATAAAGTATATATGTGTAATTCAGATATCATGAGGACATGGGGAGGACTAGAAAAATAATGCCTGTAAAGGGTCCTTAGGGGGAGATAATGGAAACAAGGTTGACAAACACTGCAGTAGAGTTAAGTGATTTGCCTATTTAAATTATGAATAACTAGGTATGTAAAGTACTAAGAGATGTGATTTTTCTTATTAATCAGTTGGTCAGTTCTGAGGAGTTCACCATTTTGGCACCTATTCAGATTCTTGTGGGTTTTGTTTGTTTGGACTAGTCAAGTGCAGGTAGTGAGAAGGGGGAAATGGTAGAACAAGCAGTTCTAACTGTAACTGAACAGTTAGTTGAGATAACTCACTACCTTCAGACCAGCCCTGTTTGGATTCTTATCAAAAAAATTACCGCCGTATTTTTTTTGATATGACTTCCAAATAAATGCTATACTAGAATATTTTAGAAAATATTAAGTACATTTAGGACAACATTGACAATAACGAAATGAAAGGTTATCATCACAGAAATAATTTATCTAAGTGAGGTTTAATAGTAAGCTCAGCAATCAGAGCCACCACCAGTGGTTACTAATATTTCTTTATTTGTAGACTCTTTATTAAACTTCTGTGTGTCCACCCTTAAATATAGCTATTCTAGTAGTACTGCATCATTAGTAAGTGTTTATAAGTAAATGTTTTGATTAACTGAAACTTTAATTGTCAAGTCTTCTAAAACTTACCTACTTTAAGCTGGTGTACTGAAGGTAAGTTTAGCCAGCTGCCACACAAAGTCATATCCTGTTTATGAATGTGAGGCGGGATTAGAACTCTGAGATGTTGTAAGTACATAGTGATTAATTAGCACTGTCAGTCACAACTATTCAGAGCTCAGGTCCAACAATATAATCTTCAGGTAGGGAAGACAAAAGTTAACTTTTTTTGTTAAAATTAAAAACTTCCTGATTATAAAAGTAGTACATATACATTAGCAGATTAGAATGTAAACTATAAAGAAACAAATAGAAACAGCCATAGTAACTGTTATGTTCCTGCCATTCTTTATTGATTTCTTCAACAGTGATGATCATTCTTTACATTTTATTTGAAATTTCTTACTGAAATAAGTATTGAAATAGCCCCTTCTGTTTATTTCTTGGTTTTAATATAAATATAAAATTTATATTTACAATTTTGTATTTTACTTTCAAAAATGTCTCTTTTTTTTTGAGAGTTTTGCTCTTATAGCACAGTCTGGAGTGCAATGGCATGATCTCAGCTCACTGCAACCTTGACCTCCTGGGTTCAAGCTATTTTCCTGCCTCAGCCTCCCAAGTAGCTGGAACTACAGGTGCGCGCCACCACGTTCAGCTAATTTTTGTATTTTTAGTAAAGACGGGGTTTCACCATGTTGGCCAGGCTGGTCTTGAACTCCAGACCTCAGGTGATCTGCCCGCCTCTGCCTCCCAAAGTGAGGGATTACAGGCGTGAGTGAGCCACCGTGCCTGGCCCGAAAATATCTTTTAATAATCTTATCTGTTCTAGTACAGAGTTTACAGACTAGTTTCCTTTGAGCTGGATTGAGTCTTCAGATCTATTTTGTTCATCATAATATTGACTACCTTGACTTGTGGTTTTGTTTCTTCTTTTTTTGAAGCAGGGTCTCACTTTGTCACCCAGGGTAGAGTGCAGTGATGCAAACACTGCTCCCTGCAGCTTTGACCTCCTGTGCACAAGGGATTCCCCCTGGCCACTCCACCGCTTCAGCCCTCTAAGTAGCTGGGATGACAAGCACACGCCACCACGTCCGGCTATTTATTTATTTGTTTATTTTGGTAGAGATGGAGTTTCGTCACGTTGCCAAAGCTGGTATTGGAACTCCCGAACTCAAGCTATCCACAGCCCCCCAAAGTACTGGGGTTACAGGCATGAGCCACCATGTTTGTTGACTCATGCGGTTTTAAAGACACTTTTTAATTAGTTCCTACATTTTAAAATTGGTAGAATTCATATTAAAAACTTGAATTTTGGGCTTCTCTTGAAAAGCCACATGGTCTTGAAACACTAGGCATGCACTCTTCTATGACAGCCCTTGTCAGTGACTGGCACAGTTAGATAGGCCATGCATTTTCTAGTATGCCACAATCCTGTCACTCAGTATCATCTCTCTATGGCGTATCAGACTGTTTCACTCATTTAGGAGCTCTGCCTTGATGTTTATTCTAGGTTAATCTTTACTAAAGCAGCCCGGGATGGAACTCTTTTGTTTGTTGCTAATACTGTATCTGTTTTTGTCTTACAGGAGAAGATGTATGGTCTTATGCAAAGGGACTTCCTCACATGTTTCAGCAGGGTGGTGTATTCTACAGTATTATGAAGAAAACCATGGGTATAGTTAATTTGATTTTATTCTTAAATAATAGCTCTACTGAAGCTATTTCAAGATTAAGAAAGTTCATATAGTTTTCTACTAAAATATTTTCAAAGTTAATTTTAGGTTTATATTCTTTAGCAGTTTGCCTAGTTCAAATGGATTATTACCCTGACATGGTCAGCTATGTTTTCTGCTAGTATTACTAAAAATCTATCACTTTGTTGCTATTCTTTTCTCATTTAAATTATGTGTATGGGTGTATGATTTTTTTTTTTTTTTTTTTTTTTTTTTTTTTTTGAGATGGAGTTTCGTTCTTGTTGCCCAGGCTGGAGTGCAATGGCACGATTTTGGCTCACTGCAACCTCTGCCTCCTGGGTTCAAGCGATTCTCCTGCCTCAGCTTCCCGAGTGCCTGGGATTACAGGCATGTGCTACCACGCCTGGCTAATTTTGTATTTTTAGTAGAGATGGGGTTTCTCCATTTGGTTAGACTGGTTTTGAACTCCCGACCTCAGGTAATCTGCCCACCTCGGCCTCCCAAAGTGTTGAGATTACCGGCGTGAGCCACTGTGCCCGGCCATGTGTATGATTCTTTTTTTTTTCTTTTTTTTTAGATGAAGTCTTGCTCTTGTTCCCCAGGCTGGAGTGCAATGGCATGCTTTTGGCTCACTGCAACCTCCACCTCGGGGTTCAAGCAATTCTCCTGCCTTAGCCTCCTGAGTAGCTGGACTTACAGGTGCCTGCCACCACGCCTGGCTAATTTTTTGTGTTTTTTTTTTAGTAGAGACAGGGTTTCACCATGTTGGCTAGGCTGGTCTCAAGCTACTGACCTCAGGTGATCTGCCCGCTTCGGCCTCCCAAAGTGTTGGGATTACAGGCGTGAGCCACCACACCTAGCCATGTGTACGATTCTTAACAACTAAAGACAAATTGTGAAATTAGAAGCAGATTTGTTTATAATGCTAGTATTCAAGAACCAGATAATATTTGTGTTATTGTTGTTGTGTTTGGCCATATTTAGCATATATCTGATTGCTTTCTAAGTTCTAGGATACAGCTCATTATACATTTAGCTTCTTTCACATTGTACATACATTGTTTGTAAAGACAGACTTGTGTACAAGTGTATGTCTGTATCTTCAGAGTGGTCTTAAGAGAGAGGTTGCCAGGCCATGTGTTTGGACTTCACACATTTTTTTCAAAGATTTTACGTTAATGCTTTCGGCCCCAGACTTACCGCTCTGGCTTATATATTTCACCTACCTGGCCATTGTAGACATTAATTGCATAATCTGTTTTGTTGTTTTCATCTCTTCCTCATACACTTTTTTTTCCTTCCAACTTGGTTGTAGAAATATTCAAACATATACAAAAGTAGCAAGAATAATATAATGAACCCCCATTTACCTACTACCCAGCCTCAATAATGATTAGTACATCTCTGTCCCCTTTTTAATTGGACTATTTTAAAGTAGATCTCAGATATACTATAATTTCACCTGTAAGTACATTGGCACATGTTTCCTTTTTTTCTTCTCATTTTCTCCTTCGAACTTCAATATGTATTTCTAAAGATAAGAACTCTTTAAAAAAGAAAAATTATTACAGCCTAAAAAAAGAACAATTTTTTTTAATGTCACGAAATATCTAGTGTTTGAATTTTCTCGATAATTAATGTTGATAATTTTCTAAAAGATGTTTTCTTCTCTTGGTTTTTCTTTAATCAGAGACCAAAAAATGCCTTGTTTTTTTCTTTCAAGACAGGATTATTGAGGCATAATTTATAAACAGTAAAATTCATCCTTTTCAGACTTACAAGTATACAAATTTTGTATACTGTATATGAATTTTGACAAACATATATATATAGCATATATAGTCATGTAACCAACACCACCACTGTAATCAAGATACAGAATATTTCCATCACTCCAAAAAGTTTTCTTGTGCCTCTTTGTAGTCAACTCTCCTCAATCCCAGGCCCTGGCAACCATTCATTTGATTCTGCCCCTATATGTTTGCCTTTTTCATATTACCATGTAAATAGAATCCTATAGTGTGACTTTTTGTGTCTGGCATCTTTAATTTAGCACAGGAATTGGCAAACTGTGGCCTGTGCGGCCATCTCAAATCTGCTGCCTGTTTTTTTGTTTTAGAGACAAGGTCTCACTCTATCTCCTGGACTGGAGTGCAGTGGCCCAGTTATGGCTCACTGCAGCCTTGACCTCCTGGGCTTAGGTGATCCTCCCAGCTCAGCCTCCCAAGTAGCCAGGACCACAGCCATTTGCCACCATGCCCAGCTAATTTTTTGTATTTTTAGTTGAGATGGGGTTTTGCCATGTTGCCCAGGCTGGTCTTGAACTCCTGAGCTCGAGCAATCCTCCCGCCTCGACCTCCCAAAGTGCTAGGATTACAAGCGACAGATTACAAGCATGAGCCTCTGCACCTGACCTGCTGATTGTTTATATAATTTATTATTATTATTATTATTATTAGTTTTGAGACAGGGTCTTGCTCTATTGCCCAAGCTGGAGTGCAGTGGTATGATCGTGAGTCACTGCAGCCTCCAGCCCCAATTCTCTGGGCTCAAGTGATCCTCATCCCTCACCCTACTGAGTAGGTGGGACTACAGGCATGCACCATCATGCCCTACTATTTTTAAAAAATTTTTTGTAGAGACAAGGTCTCACTATGTTGCCTAGGCTTGTCTCGGATTCCTGAGCTCAGGTGATCTTCCTGCATCAGCCTCCCAAAGTGTTGAGCGGCTGTACCTGGCTGAATACTTAAAAGTTTTACTGGGACTGAGCACAGTGGCTCACGCCTGTAATTCCAGCACTTTGGGAGGCCGAGTTGGGCAGATAACTTGAGGCTAGGAGTGTGACACTAGCCTGTCCAACATGGTAAAACCTCATCTCTTCAAAAAATACAAAAAAATTAGCTGGGTGTGGTGGTGCACGACTGTAGTCCCAGCTACTTGGGAGGCTGAGACCTGAGAATTGCTTGAACCCAGGAGGCGGAGTTTGCAGTGAGCCAAGATCATGCCACTGCACTCCAGCCTGGGTGACAGAGTGAGGATGGATGGATGGATGGATGGATGGATGGATGGATGGATGGATGGACGGATAGATAGATAGATAGATAGATAGATAGATAGATAGATAGATAATAGAGTAGATAGATTAGATAGATACATGATGGATTAGATAGATCAGATAGATGATAGATTAGATAGGTAGTGGATGGATGGATGATAGATTAGATAGATTAGATAAATTATCAATTAGATTAGATCAGATAGATTATAGATAGATAGATAGTTTCACTGGAGCACAGCCACACTCATGTTTACATGTCTGGCTGCTTTCACATTACAGTGGCAGAGTTGAATACTTGTGAAAGAAACCATATGGTGCACAAATGTTGCCCTATACAGAAAAAATGTGCCTATTTATGTTTTAATATGCTTTTGAGATCTGTCTTGTTGCATGTATTAGTTTATTCCTTCGTTTTTTAAAAACACTTCAAATAACTAGATTTTATTCCTTTTTGTTGCTGAGTAGTAGTCCATGATATAGATGTGTCACATTTTAAAAGACCTGTAACTGGCCAGGTACTGTGGCTCACACTTGTATTCCTAGCACTTTGGGAGGCCAAGGTGAGCGGATTCCCTGAGCTCAGGAGTTCAAGACCAGACTGGGAAACATGATGAAACCCCGTCCCTACTAAAAATACGAAGAATAGTTGGGCGTGGTGATGTGTGCCTGTGGTCCCAGCTACTCAGGAGGCTGAGGTGGGAGGATCAATTGTGTTTTCTTCTAGGAGTTTATAGTTTTAGGTTTTATATTTAGGTTTATGATCTATTTCAAGTTGATTTTTAAATATATCTCAGGGTATGGGTCAAGGTTCATTTTTTAATGTATGGATGCCCAGTTGTTCCAGCACCATTTGTTGAAAAGGCTTTATGTTATCCATTGGATTATTTTGGTATATTTGTCAAAAATCAGTTGACCATGAGTCATATACCTGAAAAGGATGAATTATGTGATATGTACATTATACCTCAGTGAAATTACTTTTTCTTAAATCAACTGACTATATGTGTGGTTCTATTAGTATTTCTAGAATCTCTTTTCTGTTTTGTTGATCTATGTCTCTCCTTTCTCCAGTATAACATCCTGATTATTGTATCTTATAGTTATTCTTGAAATCAGTGTGAGTCCTCCATCTTTTTTTCTTTTTCAGAATTGTTTTGGGTGTTCTGAGTTCTTTGTTTATCCATATAAATTTTATTTTATTTATTTATTTATTTACTTACTTACCTGCTTATTTTTTTGAGACGAAGTCTTACTCTGTCTGGAGTGCAGTGTTGCAGTCTTGGCTCACTGCAACTTCTGCCTCCCAGGTTCAAGCCATTCTCCTGCCTCAGCCTCCCAACTAGCTGGGATTACAGACGCCTGCCACCGCGCCTGGCTAATTTTTGTAGTTTTAGTAGAGATATGGGGTTTTACCATCTTGGCTAGGCTGGTCTTGAACTCCTGACCTCATGATCCATCCGCCTTGGCCTCCCAAAGTGCTGGGATTACAGGAGTGAGCCACCACGCCTGGCCTATTTATTTATTTAATTTACTTATTTATTTATTTTTGAGACAGAGTCTTGCTCTTTCACCCAGGCTGGAGTGCAGTGGTGTGATCTTGGCTCACTGCAACCTTTGCCTCCCAGGTTCAAGCGATTCTCCTGTCTCAGCTTCCCAAGTAGCTCGGATTACAGGTGCACACCACCACAGCCGGCTAATTTTTTGTGTTTTTAGTAGAGACAGGGTTTCACCATGTTGGCCAGGCTGGTCTCGAACTCCTGTATTTATTTATTTTTTTGAGATGGAGTCTCACTCCGTCACCCAGGTTGGATGGAGTACAGTGGCACCATCTCAGGTCACTACAACTGCCATCTCCTGGGTTCAAGCAATTCTTCCCTGTCCCAGCCTCCTGAGTAGCTGGGATTACAGGCATATGCCACCA